CATGAGCTCTTTCTTGGTAGTCCACTTTAATTGTATGCCTTTAGATCTAGTTGGCTGATATAAATAAATATGGATTTAGTGACCAACTTTTGGTGACCAGTGACAATCATATAACTGTACACGTTAATACAAATCAAGCATAAACTTTTAAAAATTAATTAAAAATAAACTAATACACCTACACCAGTTAAATTAGTATCAACTGATGTTTCACACCATCAAGCTTTGTAGGTAAAGGATGGAACATAGACATATCTCTTTTAGTATCCACTTCATTTGGTGCTATACAACTTTAACAGGCAAATTAGTTTGTTTACAGTATCATTTCAAGCATTCATTTTATTTACAACAACCCTGCACTTTTGACAGTAGCTAACAATTTTATTACTGCCAACCAACTGAAGGCATAAATTAAAATTTACTTTGCTAGGTAACCTGGACCCATGACTTGTATCAGCAAATCCTTCAGCTATTCCACTAGCTACATTACATTACAACACTATTTTAACATTTGTATCCCATGTCTGTGTTAGGGCCAGACAACTTAAATATTATCACACTCACAACAAACAACTCTCAGCTACTCACAGGGTTATTCATGAAGTGTTACTTATGAACTGAAAACAAAAAAACAAAAACAAAAACAAAACAAAACCCCCAACTACAAAAAAAAAACTCCATGGTTCCAGTCCGCAAGCGAACTATACTGACCGAGCAACTGCCATTTGTCAGCGAAGTTAGTGCCAACTTTAGCAGATAGAGGGTGTCATATGGTCAGCACAACAAATCCCCACGGCCATTAACTTCGGATTTCTAGACCGGAGCCGCTATTTGCTTGAAATAGCTTCTCAACTGTCCTCACGAGGCTGAGTGAACCCTGTTCCAGATCCACTACTTCTCAGAAACTCTGGTAGCGCCAGGAATCGAACCCAGACCTCTAGATCTGTAGCCAGGGAGTCCGACCACTAGACCACAGAGGCGGTCAATAACAACTACACACAAAAAATATGTGCATTAAAAGCAAACAGCAAGTGTTTTGGTGAGAACAATTACACTCAACTCTTGATTATCCAGGGGCGGATAAACCGGTTTGCGGCTTAACCGGGGCTTTCTTGAGGCTTATATGTTGTTTAATATTCATTCACTTTTGTTTCACATGGTGAGTTTTAACACTATTTTCACACTTGTGTGCACTGAGCTCTGCATTTTTTGGTCCTGTTATGCTAACACAATGTTCTAGGGTAGGGGTGAAAGAATGCAAGGATTTGTGGAAAGTTTCAAGGACAGATACACCGCCCCAGTTAGTCTCTTTGTATCGATCTTCAAGTGCGTTAGCAAAATGTCAGGATGTAAAAGGAAGCATGTTGTGTTAAGTATTCAACAGAAACTTGAAATTATCAATTAGTTGGGAAAAAGAGGTATAGTTAAACAATTAGCAATGCAATACGGTATTGGAGAACAAACTGTTCGTGATTTGAAAAAAACAAAATAATTAATTAATTTCCTTTGCTTCATCATCTAATTCAGGCAGAACGAAGAAGAGAAAAACCATGAAAAAATCAACATATGATGATCTCGACAAAGTAATGCTGATCTGGCTTAACCAACTAAGGGCACAGGGAACAACAATAACAGGAGCAGTTTGTGCTAAACAAGTGAAATATTTTTCCGAAGCATTTGAATTACAAGGAAGTTTTGACGCATCTTCTGGTTGGCTAACACGTTTCAAGCAGTGTCATGGAATACAAGAAATAAGTATTCAAGTTGAGAAATT